GGAGGAGGAGGAGGAGGAGGAGGAGGAGGAGGAGGTGGTGGAGGACGCTTCGGGCATGCGCGGATGGGCCGTGGTGAAGCTGTCATCCACCGAGGCTGTCCGCCCCGGCCGACCGTGTCGCATTCTTTCCCCTTTCACCAATGCACCACTCACTTGCCTTCGCTGGTTATCCTCGTTCAAGGTAGGCATCCGTCCTTAAGTCGTACAGGAGGATGGTGTTGTATGATTGGTGACTACGCCCCCCTTTCACCTCGGCCAGGTCGCCTCCTACCACTTGCCGTGTCTCAGAACTGTATTGAATGCCTCGCGCCCGTTTTTCTTTCGTGCGGGATGATGATGTGGCAAGAGCGGAGTGTTTTCCGGCTAGCCCTTTGGCAACGTGACGGTCGAATGAGAAAAGAGCCACGGACCCTTCGGTTGAATGGCACGACACTTTAGATCTTCTCAGGGTGGCTATGCACCGGATGGTCGAGGGTTCACTGTTTGACTTTTGCGCGGCTGGCAGCTACCACGATTGGGTACAATGGTGTGTAGATGAGTGCCTGGCACGTGTGTACCCTGTGGCGGTCTCTGAAATCACGTACCGTCTTGGTGCGTAGGCGGGACCGGGCCCTTCATCGATGCGCTGGCGATGCTGAGGCCTTCATAACCAGCACCATTCCACCCACGAGTGGATGACCCACACCGACAGGCACCGCGCAACTACCCTGTATATATGTTGTATGTACGCGTGTGAGCGTGTGCATCGGTGTGAGGCTGTGAATATTGCCGCCGTGGGCACAGGCAATGGGAGGGGGGGGCTTGTGCTCCGAGCTAGCGCCAGGAGGCTTAAGCGGTGTCGTATGCCGTTCTAACTGACTGGACGGGCAACATTGGGGTTCAGAAAAGCACCGGTGGGACACTTTGCGCGTCCCTTGGACGCCACGAGGGAGAGGATGCTGTGATTTTGATGTGTCCTTCATCATTGTGCTGGTATGTGTCACTGTGTCCACCCGATTAAACAAAAGTTTTGTGGTCGTTCCGGAGACGTCTCGCAAGGGCTGGGAATAAAAGATTTGTATGTCCAAAATTATTTTAGGGCCTATTCCGGACCGCTCTTTTCCCGGCTCCGCAGGCAACTGACTTCTGCATATCGTGGACTGTGTGGGTAGACTGCCAGTAGCCTTGTATCTTTCAAAAAATAGATGGTATGACATGTTTATCGGGCTGCTGCAGCTTGTTGGCTGCGTTGTCTCTATCATGATTTCATGATCTAAGTTATCACCCTTGAGCGGAAGAGGAAACCGGCCTGTTTCGATCCCATGAAACACACACTTTAGTATTTTTATTTTCTTTTCCACGCTTCTACTTTCATCGTTTTGGCACGTTTGCGAGCTTTGATATGTTTTTGTCCCCGAATATATTTGTGCTTCGCACGTGCGACGTGCGGGTTGAAATAGATAAGAAAACTGAACACAAGTATGCCCCAATTACCCAACGACGCACACTATGTTCTCCGTCAAAACACACACACAACGTTGGTGAAGATAAGGAAAAATTGCACCCTCCGTAGCGGGCATTTGAGTCGTGTATGATTCGGAAACCACTTCTTGTTGTTCTAAGCACTCCGGAGGGTGGCCTATGGCTGATTTTTGGGCGGGTGACCTTGCTGCGGCCACGCAATTACTTCCACCATAAAGATACTTACCGTTTCTACAAATTTTTGTATAGATTTTTATGTTGTTTTCTATCGCAGCACGTTTCCTTAAAATTGTTGCAGTTCTCTTAAATACCCCAAAGTGTGTGTCTGCTGGGCGATAGAGCGCATAGCGGCATCCGATTAAAAACAACAACCCCACTTAAAAACCTACACCTGTCCACATCCACCGCGCATGGTCAAGCGAGGAAGGTTTTGTATGGAAATGATCGCGATTTGCGAAATTAACTCGGACTGAGATTTGAAAGTATGCGAACAGCGTATGTGATGGAACAAAAAGCTATCATGGAAAGGCTCAACCCCCCCGGCAGAGCCTGCGATATTTTGCACTTTTCGCAGGCCCATTCCACCGAGACTGAAAGGTTCTCGACCATCAGGTTTTACGCTGTCGTTCCCGTCATGTCTGAGTGATTTCCGTTGTGTCACGGGGATTAAGATTTTCGCGACAATGGTCAATGTGACTTTTTGCACGCTCTCTGATAGTATCCGGCTCCCTGGAAACTATGCTCTCCCCGACCGACTGCCCCGATACTACAACAAAATGACCTGTGCATGATCATGGAATGAACTTGTTACTCAGAAGACAAAATGGAAAGCGCGCGATTGTTGTGCATATTACATACCAGAAATGTTTATGCCATCAGAGCGTGGTTGTCCGGAAGACGCCCTTCCTACTACGAGTACTTCCCAATTCTTTTGGTCAGTCACCTCCTCACTACCTTCCCTTTTCTTCGCAACATCGTGTTGCACCCAGGGCCTTGGCTCCATCACTTTCCTATCCTAAGTTGACCACGACAGCACCATGGCCACGGCCGATCTCCGATCAGGGGCTAAAGGTATCGTCCTCCTCCTCCTCCTCAACCTCCTCCCCTTCCTCGAAGCGCGCCTCCAACTGGCCAACACTTTGGGATCCCACATGGTGTTGCAGCGTGCTCCACACCGGGCAGTGTTGTATGGCGTGGCAGACGGCTGGGCGAAAATCGATGTGCGAGTACAGGCGGAGACGGAAGGTAAGGAGGGATCCGGCATCTACGGCCCTCCCTCCTCATCACTGGGTGGGAGGGCGGAGGGAGGCCAGCATCCGAGTTCCTTCCGTAGACTATGCTGGCTTTTCCCCAGCCAATAAGAAAAACTTTCTCACAACCCGTATGCCTGGCGGTACCACTACTGTTTTCAAAGCTTTCTCTTCCCCCCAAACCTCCCCGCCCGCCGCGCCTTGTCCCTCCTTCAGGGGCTTCGTCCATGGACGTGCACACGGCTGCCAACAAAGACGGAGCTTGGGAGGTGCTTTTAGA